CGCTGCAATCATGTTGCGCACACTTTTCGTACAATGTCCCACTGTCTGGCTTCCTGCATAAAGTCAAGTGCTCGGCGCAGCTGTGGCGAAATGTCGCTCCTCTGTTTTCATTTAAAGCTCCGTATATCCGTTAGCGCAGCTAGCTAGCACCAGATGCTAACAATAACAATGCACGTAAGGTCTCTCTCTCGCTCGCTCGGGCCACACATACACACACCCTCCCGGTCCTCCCAACAGCCAGTCGGTGCCTGCCGGTGAGCGTGGAAGTGTGGTCTGCCACAAGCGGGCGACAGGAGCGGGGCTGTCAGCATCAGCTTGTAGATGGCATTTTAAACTCGATGCGCTCTGAAACTACCGGGCGGCCGAGGAAACAAAATACACATGCGTTAATCGCGTTAAAATAATAAGTGGCGGAAAGATTTTTTTATTATCGGTATCGGTCTTGAGAAGCAGGAAGTTATCGGTATCGGTTTCAAAAAACCAATATCGTGCATCCCTACAAATAACCCTCTCTGGAAAATTCTAAATTGTGGAATAGTTTGGCCATTAAAATGCTTTTTGATTCGATTTCTGGCGAGAAGTGTATATTGTACTCTTAGAATCCACGTCCAGTCGATGTGTAGGATCTATAGTTTGATAGATATTATGAAGATGATTTGAGGTCTCGCCAGGAGAACGTGTATGCAGCTTCCATGTAAAGTTAGCGTGGGTGAAAACAGTTTTTCCGGTCTCGAAGTTTTCATAATAAAACCGGATATATTCCCCTCACTGTCAAATGATTACACAGTGATATCTGCATTACTCATCCACTAAAAAACATCAGGTTATCCTTGTTAATTAGGCAAGGCAATTTTATTTATATAGCACTTTTCAGCACGTGGTGATTCAAAGTGCTTTACAGATTAAAAATTACACAATATTGATTGGTTTAAATTGTGTACAATGCTTTTGTGTTTTTAACCTTCGATTCAGAGAAACAAATAGTTTTTTCGGAATTTAGACACTACAGATTCCGAAGACACTACATTACCCAGAATCCCCAGCTATCGTTTGGGACTACAACATCCGCATTGCTTTACAAACCCCGTGATTAGTCATCAAGCCATGTGATTGGATGTTGGAGTAGCAGTGCGACAAGGTTACGCTGAGCGTCAAACAGCTCTATGAAATGGAATGGAACCACGGCAGACTATCCAACACTGGGGCTGAAGTCGAATAGTCCATTTAGCTTAGGAACCTTCCTAACGGAGTGAAATGACCCGGAAGTCCCTCAGTGGCAGCCATGATAAGTGCTGTTCGAATTCTCTAGAATGATAGGAAAGGAGGTTTCAAACTTCCTTTATAACCTCCTTTAGCGATGGCCTTTAGCTTAGGAACCACTGGACCTCCCTAACCGAAAGGAGAGGAGAAAATGCTGCCCCACAATGCCTTGCAGCCGCAGCATTTGCGTCACACAACAGTCGGCCGTTCACGGAAACAAACGATTATGACGGAGAAATTATATCATGAAAGTTACGGTGCTTATTAAGCATTTTAAAACGTATGTGGTAAGTTGCCAGAGTGCTTTATTTTGAACGTTCATCCTGTATTATAATCAAAAAGAGAAATATGAATGTTAGTTTTTACTGAAATGATCAAATAAAGTCAACATTTCACTGAGCTGTGGAGTTTGTTCAACTTTTAAAAGATGTTTGAATGGTGATATACACAGTGATAGATGTTAAGGACTAACGTTTATAATAAATACATTTGTATTTATTTTAAGATCTTTTCATAGTTGATACAATCATACGTATTGGGATCATTTATATTAATGTGGACCGGAGGGAGAGGGTGACGAGCATAAGTTTCACTTTCATTTTTTATTTCAATTCGAACTTTGGTCATGAAGAATATGTTTCTCTGTTGTCCACGTTCATAAAGCATAACACAACAGCATCAGAACACGGTGCAGAGTCTCTAGATGAGTCCGTTGTTCTTATTAAACATCCATGTTGTAGTCCGCTGTATAGAAAACTGTGGTTTCCATAGTTTCCCCACAGCAGCAGACGCACAAAATGACGTCCGCTGGCGCATCATTAACACGTTGGATAGTGAAAGTGCATTCGGATTCTCTAAAGTACCGCAGTCTCTTCTCCTAAGACCTTTTGAATTCTCCTATCCACTATCCCTTAACCCCGTGACGTTTCACTCAGAGGTCAAGGAATAGGAGATAGGGTTAGAACTTAGGAGCTGATTTTTAAACTATCCGACCGCAACCTGGAATTGGACGGGTCCAGCCTAGCCCCCCCCCCCCCCCCCCCCCAGAACTACACATGCTGGCTATTGTGTGTTTCGCAATATGTTCTATGGCACGTCTCTTTATAAGACGTTTTCGTATTTCCCACAATTAGAAGTTGCCAGTACTAAACTGTGTACACCCTGGAGGTTTAGGGGATACCAAACACAGTGGTGTTATCACATTTAAAAGTTAAAACATATAATTAATAAATGGGTGAATTCATATACCCACATGACACCTAAGGTCAGAAGAGCTTTATTTAACAGCTGGTCTTATGTCTGTGACCCCTCCTGTTGTTCATTAAGATTCAATTCAAGATTCATAAAGAATCTCTTTCACACACAGTGACGTCACGAGCTACCCACAATGCAACACGCGGCATATATATATATATAAATACGCCATTTTCCTGGAGGTGCAAATATCCTGGAAGTGCAAATATAAACAGCTAGCTAAGGTAGCAAGGCAGAGCGCACTAGGTTTTTTTTCTGAATTAACGACCGAAGAAATCGCTGCATGTCTTCGGATTACATCTCTGGACTTGAGGGGTGTGCTTTAGGTCGTTACCAGCGTAAACTAGAGCTGTGTCGGTTGTCGGATTGCCCTTACAGACTGCCTGCAGATGTATGGAAAAACGACCCTCAAAAGTGGCCTTCGTCGATTTTGGCTGCATCTCCGTCTAATTTCTGGAAACACCAGGTGAATACCCCACTTGTTACAATAATATTATCATGCCATTGCATATATGTGGTATTTTAGAGTTGACTATATATTGATTAAGGCAATATATTGATTAAGGTAATATTCAGTACAGGAAGCTTAGCAACGCCTAGACGGTGTACGGCTAAACCATCTGCCTGCTTGCACCTCGCGTAAAACGGCGGATACCGGAAGTACGGTGTCGCCCTCGGCCCAATACCCGTATGTGTGTGTGAAAGAATAAGCCTGAAACATGCACTTGTCAAGGTTCAGAGGCACATTTTGCAAATATGGCAGTAGCCATCGATCATCTTAAGATAAGATAAGATATACTTTATTGATCCCAAGTTGGGAAATGTTTTTGTTACAGCAGCATACTACTTTGTTCTACTCCACTACAATTCAGAGGTTAACCTGGTATTTTTACTCCACTACATGTATTTGAGTTACTTTTCAGATTCTGATTAATGATGTGAAATATAAACAACCCTTAAATCAGACTTTAGTTACACCTGAGTCAAATTCAGTGAAGGTGATTGTCAAGTGCCAAAATAAACTATGCAATATATTGGGAAAAAAAGGAAAATACAGTTTCAGTCTCTCGATTTGAAGCTTATGCATTGTACCATGAACCTGTATAGACCTGTAACAGTCAACTGCATGAGGAGTTGGAAAGGTAGTTCAGTAAATAATATCTTTAAAAACTACAAAAAAATCCCTTTCTATCAGCTGTGCACCGTTATGGTGTAAATATAACCTATCTACCAATTGGATCAAATATAAAAGTCAGCCGAATTAGTGTTGATACTGCAAGGAGACGTATTGTGTGAAAAGAAATGGAAGATGTTGTTTAATTGCTAATATATTTATGATCCACGTCACGTATTCAGTTTTGGCGGCATTTCTTACAGTTTGTCAAAAGGTCTTCTGATCAGGGCTCTATAAATCAATATCTACGGCAGATATGTAATATTTAATGCAGCCGAACAGTGTATTACAATGCCGTTATGTGATGACTTCCAAAGAGAAAAGCAAGAACACTCGGAATAAAGTATTATTTTATTTAAAAAAAAATGTTTTTCCGATTTCATATCGCATAAACACCATATCCCAACGTGCATTGAGGCTAAAACAATCGATGTTTTAGCCTATCAAAACCTCTGAAAAAAGAAAGGTGTCTCTCAGAATCAAAAGAGAAAAACCTATGGGAAAAACACAAACGCATTGTACACAATTTAAACCAATAAATGTCGTATAATTAACAAGGATAAACTGATGTTTTTTAGTGGGTGAGTACTGCAGATATCACTGTTAAATCATTTGATCATTGGTTTTATTATGAAAACGTCGAGACCGGAAATACTGTTTTCAACCCGTAACTTTACATGGAGGCTGCCGCATACCTCAAATCATTTTCGTAATATCTATCAAACTATAGATCCTACATATCGACTGGACGTGGATTCTAAAAGTACAATATACATTTCTCGCTAGAAATCTAATCAAAAAGCGTTTTAATGGCCAAACTATCCTACAATTTAGAATTTTACAGAGAGGGTTATTTGTGAATAAACGACCATCTGTAACGTTTGCATTCAACGGGAGCACTAGAGGGCAAACACTTTAAAACGTAATTATAGGACGTATTAAGCGCTTGAACAAACAACATATTTGGTCGTAATAAGGGCCTGAACAATCGGCCCATTTGGTCGTATGAGTTGGAGCTTACACACCTTCCAGCGCAGACTGAAAACTCATCTCTTTCGACTCCACTTCGAGCGATAGAATTATTAACAAAGCACTTATATACTAATAAAGGACTGGCTTATCTAAAGCCAGTTGAGTAGCACTTGAAATGTTTTTGCTCTATGAAACCTGATGTACTTATATGATTGTTTTCTTCAAGTTTGTATTTTGTTGGTCGAACGCACTTATTGTAAGTCGCTTTGGATAAAAGCGTCAGCTAAATGTAATGTAATGTTGTTCAGAATAAATATATAAATATTTCATATAATTTCAGGTGTCCCTCCTAAAGAGTCCAGCTTTCTGATCAATGCTCTCCTTCTTCAACACTACAAGCGTGGTGCGTACTACTCACGGGGGGGCGCCAGTGAGTTTGCCTTCCACATCATCAATGTCATTGAAAAGGCGGGCGGTGCTGTTCTCGTCAGGGCTCCGGTACACCGTGTCCTGCTCAACCGGCAGAACAAGGCCTACGGTGAGAAAATGGTTGGAGACCAGTTCTGGAATGCAGTTGCTTTTTTTAAGGAGAGCGTGCAAAGGTTGACCTGTTCATGGAGCTCATGAGACATTCTTTCACACTTGTATCAGTCTTCTAAGCAGAGCTATGTCTTTTTGGGCTCCAAGCCAAAACAGAGATTGCAAGTTGGTCGCATGACTTCCCGCTTTGTTAACCGCTTTTCAAAACACTCTAGAAATTGTTACTAGGCTTGAATCAAAACCAAAATGAGGCACCAGTTTTCAAGCATTTTTAGGAGTTGGTTAAACTTACCAATATTGTCATTATCCTGGTTTGTTACACCTGTTTCCTTTATTTTCTCATTTTCTTGTCTGCTTTTACTTCCTGTCTTTGTAACTGTTGATTCCTTCCACCTGTGTGTGATCTCTAGCTTTGTTAATGTTATAAGTATACTGTTCCTATATATGTTTAAGTGTCGATCATTTTGTTTGGTACTTTCCCTTTTTTGCACTTGCCTGCTTTTTAGTTTTGTGTTTTTGTAACCAGCTTTGATTTGATAAAGCTCGATTTTGGTTTTTCATATCTGCCTCCCCTCTTCTGAACTGCTATTAAGGCCTTATTTCCTTACCCTTGTGACAATGGTGCTTTAAGGCTGAAACACGCACTGATGTTATTTTCCGTATGATTAACACTTTGTGTGTGTGTGTCAGGTGTGACGGTGCTCAAAGGACAAGAAGAGATTGAGGTCCATGCCCCTGTTGTCATTTCTAATGCTGGCATTTTCAACACATTCGAGACGTTTCTACCTCAGCCCATACAGGAGAAACCAGGTAACATAGCTTTATCACTGCAGCCACTAAATAAACTGTACATTGCACTGCTTTCTTTTTCTACTGCATATTTTCTGTAATTTGTGAATGTGTGTGTAGAGATCCAGTCACTGTTGGGTTTGGTGCGCCATGGCATGGGTTCCTTCTTGTTCTTTGTTCATCTGGATGGAACCAAAGAGGAGCTGCATCGTTTCCACCAACTTTTGGATATATAAAGACAATGACTTGGACTCACTGTACGCCACCTATCACCACCTTGAAGATCATACCTTATTGGCTTGCTAACTTCCTGGTTCGAATCGGCCTGTTGGATCGCATATCTTCAGTGTTTAGCCTAGCAACAACCAGCCATTCAGAAATGATGTCCCGTCTCACACAGAACAAGGACCTGGCACTGTCTGCGTACCTCTTCTATGGTGATGGACACACTCACATTCATCACATATCACACTCTCTATATCATTGGGGTCAAACATAAGGCCCACGGGATGCCTTTGCAAAGTGTAGAAATTACAGAGAAGACTGATTTTTCAGAACTTGTATGTATACATTTACAAGGCAGGGGGATAGTTTAACCTACTTCCTGAATAGTTCTCACTTTAGTTTGTATTGTGTTGTGTCAGGATTACTATACAGATGTGGAAATTAATGTAAAATAATTACTAGATCCTGACGAGTTGTTTTGATCATAAAGTAAATAACTATATTGTTTAGTTCCATATACCTGTGACTAAATATTTCTGTAGATACACTGTGATCTGTAAGTAATGCACATGTGTAAATGATAAACTGAGGAATAGAATGGTTTAAATGGCCCTTATTTTCTCAATATTTACTGGTCCGGGCCATAGAGATCAAATGTGTCTGTACGCTGCTCTATATCCTCTTCATTGGTCTATTTCATATCATTTTGGGTGTCCCTCTGAAAGAGTCCAGCTTTCTGATCAATGCTCTCCTTCTTCAACACTACAAGCGTGGTGCGTACTACCCACAGGGGGGGGCACCATTGAGTTTGCCTTCCACATCATCAATGTCATTGAAAAGGCGAGCGGTGCTGTTCTCGTCAGGGCTCCGGTACACCGCGTCCTGCTCAACCGGCAGAACAAGGCCTACGGTGAGAAAAGAGTTGGAGACCAGTTCTGGAATGCAGTTGCTTTTTTTTAATGAGAGCGTGCCAAGGTTCATGGAGCTCATGAGACATTCTTTCACACCTGTATCAGTCTTCTAAGCAGAGCTATGTCTTTTTGGGCTCCAAGCCAGAACAGAGATTGGAAGTCGGTCGCATGACTTCCTGCTTTGTTAACCGCTTTTCAAAACACTCTAGAAATTGTTACTAGGCTTGAACCAAAACAAAAATGGGGCACCAGTTTTCAAGCATTTTTAGGAGTTGGTTAAATTTACCAATATTGTCATTAACTTGGTTTGTTATACCTGTTTCCTTTATTTTATAATATTCTTGTCTGCTTTTACTTATTTTCTTTGTAATTGTTGATTCCTTCCACCTGTGTGTGTTCTCCAGCTTTGTTAATGTTATAAGTATACTGTTCCTATATATGTTTAAGTTTTGATCATTTTGTTTGGTACTTTCCCTTTTTTGCACTTGCCTGCTTTTTAGTTTTGTGTTTTTGTAACCAGCTTTGATTTGATAAAGCTACATTTTGGTTTTTCATATCTGCCTCCCCTCTTTTGAACTGCTATTAAGGCCTTATTTCCTTACCCTTGTGACAATGGTGCACAATGGTTTGTCAAACAAAGCACATGGTGTAGTCCTAAACGATAGCTGAGGATTCTGGGTAGTGTAGTGTCTTCTGCCATCCTAAACTCCGAAAAAATATTTGTTTCTCCAAATAAAAGGGGGAAAATACAAAAGCATTGTACACAATTTAAACCAATCAATGTTGTGTAATTAACAAAGATAATTTGTTGTTTTTGAGTTGATGAGTAGTGCAGATATCACTGTAAAATCAATCGACAGTAAGGAGACTCCGTTATCCAATGGGAATGGACGCTCACATTGCCTTTAAACAGCCGCCGACATAAACGGATGCGGTGCTTCCATGAGTGTCAAATATCTCCGCCGATGGGAATACATTGCAATCAGTTGAAAGCTCTTTGCGTCCGTTTATGAAGCTGAAGGAGCCTCGGCGCGTCCCAACTGCACGCCACGGGACCCTGACCAAGCGTCACTCCTGGACGTTTAGGGAGTGAGAGTGTGTTGCTTCCTCTTGCTGCTGATATATCCATTGTTGTTTTTATAAATGTCTTACATGAAGCCTTTTTCTGGTGCTTCTATCCTGATTTCTGAGTCAACAATAAAGCAGTTTGGTGTTTACAGTCATTTGGCACGGTGTTGATTGGTTCATGTGTGTAGCATTTTTAATGGCAGTGTTTTGAAAATGGCAAACAAGTGAATATGTTTGATTGCAGTTTCTTACTTGGAGAACCGTTTGCAGTGGTTTGTAAAAAGTGCCAAGTTGAATTGCAAATTGGGTGCAGAGCTGAAAATGTGTTTTGGAGATTTGAGCTGAGGTTTTGCTCTTTGAGTGTGAGTTTAAATAATGATGCTTTATGTGAGGTTGTGCAACCTGCTGTGTGTTAGCAACTAAACAAAACTGTAGATAAAGCACCACAGTGTGTAGTTGGTTGGACAAAGTGTCTTGTACTATAAGTGAAGTGTGTGCCATTTGGTGCAAAAGTGTGGTTTTGATAAGTGTTCATGTAGTTTTGGGTCCAGTGTTTCATGTTGCAAGATATATGAGGTGTTTTGCACTTTGGGTGTGTGGTTTTGTGAAAGCTGTAAATACGATACATATTGATATTCATGAGGATTGATACATGTGACCACAATAACTTTCACGTCACTTTTTTATTTCAGTTCCAACTCCTTTTGAATTCTCCCAACCACTATTCCTTAACCCCTTGACGTTTCACAAAGAGATCAAGGAATAGAGGTTAGGAAAAGACGAGAGGAGCTAATTTTTGGAAAATTCCACTGCAACCCGGGCTTTTATATAGGAGAAGGAGAGTAGTCGCAATCATGATGAATGAATAGCAGCTGCAGCAACACAGTCTCACTCCCTGAACGTCCCGGAGCGACGTCAGCAATTAAAAAAAATGTGTGTTAGCAATCGAGAAATTGTAACTGCACTGATGTTGAAATAAATCAGATCAGTGATGGTTATCGCTCCTCGCCCAAGATGGCGCACCAAAACAACTTCTCGTTCGACCGGGGAGCGAGGAAATTATAAGTAAGAGACATGGCATGGATCCGAGGATGCCAAGATTAGACAGGGGCAGGATGTGACCGCTACCTTTGTCTGAAAGTTGGTTATCATGTGCAGGCCAGTTAACTCAAAGTTAATGTTTACAAAAATGGATAAACAGGTAGAGGCAAAGACTGTCAAGAACAAAAGAGAACACAGGTTCAGTTCAGCTTTATGGGTCATTTTTATTTGACGTCTTTATTTGTTGTTATAAGTCACATACGGAGGGATGATAGGTTAAAACATTAGTAATTGTGATGTCACTTTGAAAATGAACTTGTGAAAAGTGAAACTAATTGTACATGTTCAAAGGTGAATAGACATTAAGAGTATATTAAATGTATTGTTATTTACTGATCACAGAGATTACAAGTTTGCAAGAGTAGTTTAACAGGTTGCATGCTTTCAAGTCATGTAACTTTTGTTATACAACAGAGGTGACCCCAAAATGCAGTGAAGTGCAAGAGCAAATGTAAACTTTGTTACCAGCCCTGATGATTAATTATTGAGAGCGCTTGATGCACTCATCTTTTGTTTTGCATCACGTGCACCTTCATGACAGTTTGGTAGGTGTCTGACATTGTTGCCATGATGGTGACTTGGTTCCCCTTACAAGTGAGAACACCACCACTCGCTTTACCTCTGACAAACGTGATATCTTTTTTGTAGTACATCTCACAATAAAGATCATAATCACACTTTTTGCTCTTATTAAAAACTCCCACTGCGTACCAGTTGGAGTACAGGTTAAAGTCATACGGCACAGAAAACATGACAGCTATCTTCTCAGCTGTCTGATTTCTACACTTGTTCAGGAGATCGTAGGTAAAGACGCCAACAGTTCCTTTAGCTGTGTGTGGTGTCTTTTGGAACACTGCATTCCCAGATTTGAGAGGGGTAACAGTCGGTGGTAAAGGTGTAGCACAGCTTCCACTTGAAGTGAACGTCCTGTTCATAGAGGGGGCAGAAAAACCTTATTGATCAGAGAATATTTGAGGAGAACTTATCCTAGAAGAAGACAGAAAACATACGTACCTGGGGTTACAAAGAGTGTAGGTAGTACATTCATTCACAACCTCAATGTCACACTGTCGATGTGTTGGTAATGCTCCAGCAATTGCCTGTCCAATTGCAGCAACTGCAGCAACTGCACCGACCGCCACAGCCATGATTGCTGTGCAACAGAAAGACCAGTTCAGACACACAGAGCACACAACACACACATTCTGATTTCATTTTCATTGCATTTGACAGGCAGCTCCTCTGACAAAAAAAGCTGACAACTTCCAAATATCTCTCTAAAAGATGTTTTGTTAAACATCTCTTAATCCATACCCTCAAAATTACAGATTATTGCTACCCCTTTTTATTTACATCAGCCAGGCTGAGAGGTGGATGTTATATTCACACTTTTTCAGGGTCCGGAACTGATTATATTTTTATCTCACAAATGATATATTTTTTGTTTCATATATTCTTTTTCTGCCTCTGAACTATCTTTAATTTCACTTTGGCCATGACTTTGTTGCATGTTTTGCATTGCAATGCTTTGGAGCGTAGGCTTGTCGCTTTACAGCATGAAGTGAATTCAGTCAGACAACTGGCCAGGGCCGTCCCTCCCTACAGGCCGATCATGCAGACTGCGTGGGGCGTCATCTTGCGGAGGGTGCCTCAACTGAACCGAAAATGCGGCGCACCTATGCGCTTATGCGGCGCAATTAGTGTGGTGCTCGCGAAACAGAGGGCCTCATCATATAACTTTGCGTGGGGCCTCATGTTGGCCAGGGACGGCCCTGCAACCTGCTGCTGTGTTTCTTGTTTCTGCTGCTTGCCTGCCCCCCCACCATCCCTGCTTCCATCTGTGGAGTGATGAGGTCGAGCCTCATCACTCCACAGATGTACATAGAACATTGAGTGAGGTTAACTATCCCCCGAGCCTACAGGTGGAAGCTGGGATGGAAGCAGGGATGGTGGGGGGGCAGGCAAGCAGCAAAAACAAGAAACACAGCAGCAGGAACATTAACGACACGCTTTTTGATAAGAGCGACTTAAACTCAGGTGCGATTTATAGTCCGGAAAATACAGTATATCTTTTTTTGTTCAAGCATTAATCTGTACTGAGAAAGTCTGAAAAGGCAAGATTTTAAAGCAGAGTTCTGCTCCTGCAAGAGGAGTGTGTTCTTACCTCGTCTGGTGGGTGATCAGCAGCTGTGTGCAGGAGGCAGACTGCAGCTGCTTTATAAAGAACATGGAGACGTCTGACTGCTTTTGGTGGATTTTCAGAAAGCAACGCCTGCTGCTGGGTCTATAGGAAGCATATATCCTTTCCCCACTACTTTGAAAAAAGTGTATTTAGCTAAAAGTGTTCTGAAAAATAGCATGAACAAAATTAATTGTTCTCATGTAATACATGAGAACAATTTACAATCTCGAGAACAGTTTGTCCGTTCACACTTGGTGGGTGTATTTCTGGGAACACAAGTGGTGCCATTTGGACATTCAACATATTTAATATTAGTAAGCTTTGAATCGAAAATAGTTAAGCAAACAACACCCCCCGTTTTGCAGCAGCAGGGCCGAGGCACTATTATTAGTCAATAAAACGTACGTAAGCTAAACCAAGACATTCTCACTCCCAACTCGGCCTATGTTGACGTTATGTCAGGGTCCCTGTCGTCAGTTTCAACTATCAGGGAGTCCCATTGACTTGCATAGAGCTCCTTGAACGTTGGTAATAGACGAGTTGGGACCGGGGCGAAATGCTCTCCGCAGATCCATTCTCACAGCGTTTATCAAACTTTTTCTTACTCAATATCAAGCCACACTTATTGTTTTTACTTCTTTATTTTAGTTGAATAATTTCGGACTTTTGTTGCTGTCAGTTAGGGGCTCAGAATACTGAAATCTGTATTGTTTCATCGTTTTTTCCTTCTAATTTTGTATTCTTTTTCTAAACCACACACTGTTATTTACTCAACAATAGGACACAATTATCCTTGTGTTTATTTATTTGTTTGATTAATCCGGAGTCCGTCAGGACCGAGGGTCGGAGCAGCTCATAGTAGTAGTAATTTTACATCCGTTTTTTACACTCTCCGCTTTGCTTGACAAACCGACAAACCCCGTGATTAGTCCTCAAGCTCTGTGATTGGATGTTTGAGTGGCAGTGCGCCGAGGGTTACGCCCAGGTTACGCCAAGCGTCAAACAGCACTTTCAAATGGGATGGAACCACGGCAGGTTATCCAAAACTGGATTTGAACGGGTCCACTCCGTTTCCCCCTCCCCCACCCCGTCCCCAGAACTACACATGCTGGCTATTGTGTGTTTCGCACTATGGTTTCGCAACATGTTCTACTGGGAATTGTAGTTTTAAAAGACGTTTTCATATTTCCCATAATAAGAAGTTGCCAGTATTAAACTGTGTACATCCCGCTAGGTGGTTAAAGCACTCAGGTTTACAGTATTAACACAATAAAATATACTGCTGTTTCCAGTTTAGTTTATGATGGATGTATTTTGTTATCCACACATATATTGTTTTTATATTTGTAACACCAAACCGACAGAAAATATGGTCTTAACATGACCCAGTGGTCTAGTTAATACAAAATATATTATCAAACATAATATTAAAATGAACTCTTATTTTGAAAATACAGCTTCCTGTGTTCGAATGAGCTGCTCCGACTGTCAGTCCTGACCATAGACTGTGGCCGTTTCTCAATCGCGAGGATGCTGGCTTGGTAGTTGCGTACTTCCAAGTCACTTCCTTCAGAAACGAAGCAAGTATACTTCCAAGCCACGGCTACGGAAAACGAAGAAGAATGGAACAGGCTAACAAGTGTGCCACTCTCTCTAACGGTTTCAACATAAACTGTACCAAAAATAAATACCTCACGATGTCTATCTAATTATGAACTTGCTTTACTTTCACGGAACACATTTTTCGTGATAACAAACAAATGTAACAAAGTAACATATTTACCAACACATGTTCTACGCCACTACATACTTACATTTAAATGTGTGCTGCATCGGTTCAGCCATTCTCCGCAAGGGTTTTTGAAATTGGTCCGTGCGCAAAGCATTGTGGGGATTTTAAGGACGCGAAGTCTACCCATGTGCAGCCTTGAAATTTCCCCCAAACTAAGGACGCGGCCTCGGTGGAATTCCAAGTATGCTGGAGATTGGAACAGTCCTTCGGCGGCACTCGATGACGTAGCATCCTTGAATTATTGGCTTGGAAGCCAAAATCCTGGCGATTGAGAAACGGCCGAAATATATAAATGGACGTAGGGTCCGTGACGTCACCCATAGGATTTTGCAGAGAAGCCCTTAGTAGGCGGAGTCGGCCACTAGCGGCTCGACAGTGACGTCAGAGTTCAACTCCCGCCTACTCCAAATAAGGGCAAAGAGGCGGAGCCGAGGCGGGACCTCCTGCCACCCATGGATGTATAATAAGAACATTTTCTATTTTCTTTTTGGTGTCTATATAAGCTGGGATCCGGAGTCATGGATGATCCTGCAGTCCTGTGTCCTGGATTGCGAGCCCTGGATCTTGAGTCGTGGTTGTGGTCCTGGATCATAAGTCCTGGATGGATATCCTCGTGGATTCATCTTCCTATTATACACACATGCATTTCCAAACATTTGGACTACCTATGTTGCAAATGTATTATATTTTCAATTTACACACGGCATCTATTGCACGTCTGTCCGTCCTGGGAGAGGGATCCCTCCTCTGTTGCTCTCCCTGAGGTTTCTCCCATTTTCCCCCTTAAACTGTGGGTTTTCTCCGGAAGTTTTTCCTTGTACGATGTGAGGGTCTAAGGACAGAGGGTGTCGTATTGTCATACTGATATTCTGTACAAACTGTGAAGTCCACTGAGACAAATGTAACATTTGTGATATTGGGCTATATAAATAAACATTGATTGATCTTTGTAGCTCACTGTTGAAATAAAATAAAAAACATTACAATTACAAAATAATTATATCTACAGCCCCTAAACACACAAACACACCGCTTTCATAAATAACACACTTGTTTTGCAATAATATGTTTTATGTTTCCTGTAATTTTTGTCAGGAAAGGACATGCCTGAAAGACACAACATTTTCTCCTTCACTGAGGGTCAAGAAGAACATCCAAGAGGACCATTAAAAGCTGATGCTAGATTTTAAGACCAGTACAGGACATTCACTAAGAATTCGTCAGCTGATCGAATGCACCTATTTCCACATCTACACTCCATCCGCTGATTATTTCTATTTGCCTCACTTTATGAGCTTCACATCATGTGCCTTGTACCGCAGAGTTTGCAACGTCACAAATAAATGGGGCCAATCTTCAGTCAGATGTGAATGTGTAATCTAACATTTTCAGTAAGAATAATGGGCAAAAGGAGTGCAAATACAATTTACTGAAATGTGAACCAAAACGTAATCAAATGTTTTAAATAAAAAGCACATATGGACAGAAGGTGTAAACCTATTAAATGTATAAGTAAACCCATTTAGTCAAATAACGTGACAGACTAGGCCTGTGCAGTTGGTATCAGCTATGCCCAGCATGGGCTCCTCCATCAGGCCTGGTCCTCCTCCCTTAGGAAAGACCCTTAGGCCCCAGCCACACGAGGACGAAAACGGCTAAACGCATAGGATTAACGCAAACGCAATCGCAAAAAAGCTTCCGTCCACACGCAATAGTCATCCGGATAGTGTCTGTCCACACGAGACCGCTCCGTTTAGCTCCAACCGCTGGAGAAGCTGCAGTACATATGCAGGAGCCTGTACGTGGCGCTGTAACTTCCTCCACAAAAGCAGCGAAGAAGCATGGTTGTCATGGTTGCCCTTCTGTTTATTCTCCGCGGTGGGGGCCGAGGGAACCGGGCAGAGTTTTTCGCCAGTCAACGTGTATTAAAGTTTAAATCTTCCGGACAAAATTATAAAAGTGCCGGTCAAAGGTCTTCTTTGTCATTTATTGAGCTTTAAAACAAATGAATAACGACTCTATATAATATAATAATAAAATACACGGAGCCTCTCTTTTTCCTCCCTCTCTTTGGACAGCGCCAGTGTCTGTTTCATGCAGCAGCTGATCCAGTAATGAGTGACCCGGCCGACAGTAAAAATAAACATATTTATAACTAGTTTAGGTAGTTTGAGAGGTGTCTCCGTCCTGTCAGATTAGACTTCACTCGCGTTTATGTCCATATCGAGAGAAAGATAAATAATCTGAATTCAGTGTGCAGTTTACTTTGACGCGGGGGTGAGCAGCAGAGGTGGGGCGGCGGGGCTATTGCCTCATCATTATCAGAAAATGATCGTATAGGGCAGGGGTGCCCAACCTTTTTTTAACCGAGAGCTACTTTTAAAGTTGCCAGTCTGCCGAGATCTACCAGGCCAAATAGAGAGACGTAGCCATTACTGACAGCCTACTACCAGGTAAATACACACTTCTACTTGTATAAAACTGACCTTTGTATGATTAATACCTCATAAAATACTGCAGATCCTTTATCTTACCTCTTTCTAATCTACACACATACAAGTATTTAACTGAAGTTACACAACAGTGTTGTTGATACAGAGTTGGAGTTTATTCACACGTCACACTACAGTGGGTAATGTTTTCAAGAAACATTGAACAGTGCTGACACAGGGAAAAAATAAAAGACTCTGAACCCTTTATTTGCCATTATATAAAAAATAGTGTTGCTACAAAAGTATAAATGAGGCTTACTAATAAGACGACTCAGATCTGAAGCTACACAGGAATCTGCTGCAACAGTGCAATAAAAAAGACAAAATTAATAGAATCAAACCCTTTTTTTGTTGCATTTTAGTAGAGTATAAAAAGAAATGCCTTTAAAATAGGATGCAAGCAACACTAGTTTCTTAACCTGAATTGATAATAGACTATAATCAATTTAGCCTCCAGGAATGCTTCTTTCACAACTTCGCAGTCTTTGAAAGACTTCATGTGTTTCGCAAGAACGTGACTGACACGATAAGGTGCTATGGTAGCAGCCTTGCTCTTGTTGTTGGGCCTGGTGAAAATGGACTGCTGTGCATTTAGCAGTCCTTTCAGGCCCCTCCCCTTTTGGAGCGTAGGGCAGAATTAGGAGGGAATTCCGTCTCGTAGCGTTTGTGCAGTTTTGAAATGCCGCTCCTAAATTACTTTTCTTCGATAAAGCTACGCTCGCATTGCAGATGAGACAGATGGACTTTGAATTGGAATAAAT